ACTGTGAAGTATAATTTTGCTAAAATAATTTTTATGGTAGAAAATCTAATGAATTACAGATGTTACTTCAAAAGAGTTGATAACTACAGCCAATGCATAGTCAAGTGTCAGTCTAGTCATGCCTGTTAATCAGTGACTTAAGATCTGACAAGTTGTTGGCTGTCCTGGTTGATTCAGAAAATGTTTTAACTATAATGATTTAAATTCAAAGAGTGGCACCAGTTAATGCTTAGTCCATTCTAAATTCTAATACATGTATTGCGTTACTTAGAATGTCTTAAGCAAACAGATAGTGTTTTAAAATAAAGTAGTCTCTTAGAATTAACTCATTCTCTCCGTAATTATTTGTCCTCATTCCGATAGAATTATTCATTTTGCTCATTTGTATTTCACTATCCTGTTATGATTAAACATCAATAACATTTTTGTTTGTCATCAGAAAATGTTACAGTTGGTATCAAATTATAGGGAACGCATGCTCTTTTTACAAAGCACAAATTAAAGTTTATAAATCTTAAAAGTCAATTTAATTTCATGGGGTCTAATCAACGTTGGTATCGTCAATTAGGAGAGAAAGAGTTAATGTACCTCTTGTGTTTTGAATCCTGATCATATGTCTTGATTGTCTAATGTCCTGAAGGTTGCCAAGTATTCTACTACAGAGTTCTGTCAAGGCAAGACAATGAGGTGGGGAATAGCTTGGACTTATGACCCCGCTGTGCATTTTCCTGTAAGACTTGATTGATTTATTTTTGTTCTAACATAAAATTAATAGATTTACACAATAATTGTCAATTTTAAATTGTCTCTTTAGAAGAGTTAGAAAATGGCTACTTTTGTACTGATGATATTTATCATGCCTAATGATTTGATTATAAATATGATGTGTTCAGAAATCTTCATTTGAAACAAGGAAAGAGAAACCTCCATTACAGTACATTATACCGAGAGGGGCTGGAGGGGTGGACTATAAAGTCCACGAGATAGCTGCCTACCTACAGAGTTTATTGGAATCTATTAAGGTAAGTTCAGGAAAAAGGGGGGGGGGGGGGGAGCTTGCTGGCTGAGTGGTTAAGCACTTGGCTTCTGAACCAAGTTATCCACCTACCTGACATTAGTTGGGTAAAGTAAAAAGAAAAAATACACACTCAAATTTTTGTTTGCAAGTAGGTTGAAAACATATCTACTTACAATTGTAAAGGTAAAACAAAAGCTGGCTAGAAAGTAAGAGATTTGACATTTTATTTTAAAGTTTAGAAATAAGAAAAAATACAATTTAGTTTTACAATTTATTAAAATGTACAAAGTGTCTTCTTTGCTGTCAAAGTTGGGCACAGTCTCGTTTCCTATGATTGCAAAGATGACTAAAGTTCAATCTTTGCACGTGTCATTGTATTTATTTTTGGGTTGGGTCTCATTTTTTTTTTACTTTGCTATCTTTTTCACCTTGTATACTGAGACACCATCACTGATGGATTCATGCCACGAGGAGCCATCATTAGCTAGTTTTTCACAATCTTGGTATAAAACATTAGTTTAATTGACTTGAAAATCCTTGGTTTTTCTTCTGTTAAAAAAATGATCTTTTTTTTTACTTCCAGTTTCACTGTTACCAAGGTAAAAAGGCCAAGTCTTATACCAGCATTACTCTAACAGCAGTGGAAAACACATGGTGTCATCAGAGACGCTTTAGAAGGCAACAGAAACAACAGTTAATTTCTCTTCAGACTTACGCAGTCAAACCTATCAACTCAGAACCCAGTCCACAGAAAGCAGAGGTAATAGCGGCCGAGTCCAGTTCAAAGAAAGCAGAGGTAATAACGTCCGAGTCCATTCCACTGAAGGTTGAGGACAGATCTGTTGAGCCCAATCCACTGAACGTTGAGAACAGATCTGTTGAGTCCAATCATTCCCAAGTCACACAAAAGAGAGTGCTGGAAATTGCAGATGAGCACATAACAAGTGAACCTAAAAGATTGAGATCTGATAGTGTCAGTGACAATGCGACAAGTGCTGGTGTCAATGGGAGCACAAAGATCAACACAACTAACGTCTCACCGAGTAAAAAAAAGGATACTAATGAACCTGAGAGTCAGGAACTCAACAAATCACTTACAGACAGTTCGCTTACGGAATACATCTTAAAGTGTGTCATGAGGCTGAAGCTGGTTGATGAACAAGTACAGTTAGAATTGGAATGGTTAGGGGGCGAATCTAGAGAACTGATGCACCAAGTTTTGACATTCATTAAGAATAAGTTGACTGTACCAGTTGGTAAATGTTGATTAGTCCTGCTGGCCTGGCATGTTTCTGTTGTCTTTGAAATTGTTAAAAAAAAAATATAGATAAATATATATATATAAATGAATGTAAGGCATATATATAATATATGTTCTGCATAGAAATCAACCGTTTGACCAATCTGATAAAACTGCATTAATGTTCCTTAGATCATAGTGGAGACTGTAATGTATGTTTCATTTTCCCCCCACAACCGTGAACCCTAAAAATAACATTCCTAAATTTATCGATTAAAGAGCAAAACATTTTAACAAATTGGGTAAACCCCTTTTCACAGTATTTATATTGGATCATGTGGATATGTGAAGGTTACATTTGCCATATATCTAAATTTAATTCACTAGATCAGTAATACGCCAACTAAGGCTTGCAGGTAATATTTGGCTAGTTCTATATATTTTGTAGGAAAGAGGCTAATAATAATTATGAAAGAAACTTTCTCTTATTAAAATATGAATTGTTTTCTTTGAATATTTACTTTAACTAAACTTATACACATTATTTTTCCCAGTCTCTGATCAAATTGAAATTTTGCATGATTATTCATTGCCAATGACAACACATGAATCATTAAAAAAAATTAACCATTTAATTAGTGGTAACTAATTTTGTTTTATACATAGAAAGGGGAAATAAATCTTTCAGTATTGAGCGGTTATATAAGCTTTGCTTTTAGAAAGCATTTTTATATATTGCTTGTTTATTCTTTTATTATTATTGAGGCACCTCAATGGTTATTTTATTTTAAATAGTTATTCCTTTGGATTTTATACTGGGAATTTCTATTAATGGGATTTTGTCATTTATTTTGTATAAATCACAGACTAGGGTCCTTCAGATCTTACACAAATTTAAACACTAGACTTACAAATCTCAACAAGTTCAGTGTTAGCATAGTACTAAACAGACAGGGCACTTACCTTAGCACTTCCAGATAACAATGTCCTCCGTCTATCCATGTGTCAATCTAGTCATGCATGTTAATTAGAGACTTAAATTGTTTTACCTGCCAGTAGGGAAGTTGGAGCACTTCTTATAATTCTTCTCCAGTGGCAATCTGGAGTGCTCTGTAGCTATTTCTAATATTAATATTCCAACTTTTCTGTTCTGAGTGAAAATTGTGTTTTGTTGACAGTTTTTGCTTATGTTTTGTCTTATGAATAAACATGTTTTTTTTTGTTTTTTTTCTTAAGTAGAAAAAAAATGAGTTACTTTGTTGGATAAATTGTCACTAATACTGATAAGTCTTGTCTTTTTTATTATATTGTTTATCATGCCATTGATGAATTGAACCCAGTGGTATCCTAAAGAAGGCCAAAAGACATTTTTACAGGCTATACTTTTTTTTTTAGTTAAAATTCATACATTTCAATGTATGAAAGTGAATAGCTATTCCTAAGGGTAAATTTGATGTATTCAACCTGTTTCTGACTCAACTTTTTCAAAGTTTCATTAATGAAAAAAATCTCACAGACATAAAGATGCAAATAAAGTAAAAGCATTCCCATTCCAGACTTGGCAATCTTTAAGGCAGATGATGTAAATGTCATCTGTTTCTATGGCCGACGGTTAACAAGGGTGTCGTATGGCCAGCACAACCAACCGACAACTAATGTCAGGCAATTATTAAAAGTTAGGTGCTGAATTGTTCTAAAAATACCAGCGTTCAGATATTCGAATCCAAGAGGGTTCCCCCCATGAAGATGCAAGCATTGCACAAATTCTGGAGATATTAAAATTTCAAAAAGCTGGATTTTACCCGCCCAAGTAAAGCTATATTTCTGAAACGTATAAATAATTTTTATACACAATTGTGTTTGTAATTTAGTTATTAGATTTAAATTTTAAAAATTCAAGCTTCTTTTGGGTGCACTACTTCCTAGTTCACATTCAAGTTACTAGTATTCTTACTATGCGTTATTCATAGCATGTTCAGTGCTTGAAGGTTTCTATGCTGCCTTAAAAGTGCTCAACAAAAACAAGTCTGCCGGAATCTAATCTCAAAAAAGAAATCTTAAGATCAGGATTGTGACTTAATTGCCCCTTGTCAGATAGCTGCCATTCAATCCACAATTTAGTTTCATAAGTTATAATTTCACAAGGGTTAATTAGGAGTCATGAAACTTGAGGTCATTATTATTAGCTAATTGATTGGCAAAATAGAACAAGTTTTTTTTTATTTACATGGAATCTTGTTGATGTGAAAGGGATCAAATTGTTATCAATGTCATGTAAATTGGCCAGATTAAATATTTCATCGGGCCAAAGTGGCCCATAAATGGTTTAACCTGTTTTAAGTTGTCAGGCTCTTAGAAGAAACTTTGTCCTCATAAGATCACAAGACAATACATTGTTATAATACAAATGGCTCACATGTTGCTTATTTTATATGTATGTCTGTGTGGAATCTTTTTTTTTTTTTTTATGTTTCTCACTTCCAATTTATCTCATATCTAGTTGAAAAAAATTAAGCAATTAGTTTATAGTTAAAATTAGTTTAATTATTGAAAAAAAAATTCAAACTGCACAATTTTGTTAATGCTAATCTAGATATATTTAAAATTAATTTCATGGTTGATCAAAAATAATTGTGCATTTTTACTCAATATTATCTTCGATTTTTGTCAACTGCCTTAATTATACATAATTGCACATAATAAACTAGAACTGTATTATTTAATAATTCAAAATGCAAATGACTTGTTCAAATTAAACAAAATGGAGCAGCAGATGTTGACCATTATATAACAGTGTACTAACTAGAATGAAAAAACAACAAATGAACAAACAACAAACTCTTACTTCAGTTAAATCTTTAATCACAATGATGCTATCAATTGGTTCTTTGCATTCTTTGAAGAGCAGAAGACTGCTAAACAACCATGCAATACTTAGACTAAGACAAACTGTTGGATTTGTGTCTACACACAACACAGTCAACATAACTAATTAGGATCTAATCTAAAGTTCTAGAGTTAAATGATTTACACCGTTAGAGCTGTCTAATAATGGACATGAAAAATAAGAGTAATGATCTGATGAAACTGAAAGGAAGACAGTCAAAAGCTTTGATTAATGTGGAGATTCAAAATTTACTTCCTTAGTGTGAATATCCACATTCCCCCCCCCCCCCCCAATATTTTACAATGGAATTTTTTTTTCTCCCCAAAATGTACAATGTGAACCAAATTTCTATTTCAACTTGGAACACAAAAGGAGATTATCTGCGAATTAGACAAAGACATTGTCTCTTCATATTTAGTGGTTATGACAATATGCGCTTATCATTAATAACTATCCACACAAGTTAACTTGAAATTTTGACAATCACTGCAATATTTTGTATTCTTATTGACCTACTTGGGATATGTTTAGAAACAAAATAGGTGTATTTCCTAAAACTGGTACTTAGTTAAGGCTTTTACTCTGGTTCTAGATACTTACAATGAGCAGGTCACACACACAGACATATGTACAAGGAAGCTCTGATCAATAGCTGATACTAACAAATACTTAACTCATGCAGATTGACCACAAATGTACTCTGTAGCCATAATATACTTCTTTTAAAATAACTATTTACATACATATGGTTATTTTCAACAGCATTCTCAACCTAGAATAACTTTGTTGATGGTCTTCATTTGAACTATAAAGTTGGTAGATATCAAGTGAAATTTTTTTTTTTTTCACAAGTAATGTTTCATTTGAATTTTCTAGAATTTCTGAATGTCAATTTTACTTACTAAAAGTGTAGTAAAGTTACTTTCCCTTACGATTGATATGTTGATAGAATGCTGTTGTAACAATCAAATAGGAGTTAAGAAATCCTGAATATTCTTAAAGATTATAGAGCATTTACATATGTTATACAAATGAAGTAGGGTGATATAATGAATTGTGCACTAGAAATATGGATTTAAATGTATCACGTCAGTACAAGCTCACGCTACTCACAGATCAATATATTTATATATACATGTCGAAAAGGAAATTTATCTTTCATTTTGAATTTGTATCAACATTTAAATAATAATATGCTTAGGTATCTATTATGATGGCGTAAATCAAATAAAATACTGAGAAAATGAGCAAAAATCAGTCATTTCATCAAGTCAGTTGTTCTGTGATCTGGTCTTTACACTGTCTTTAGAGGAAGGCAATGAAGAAAAAAAATTCATTTCTTTTTACTAGCTGCTTTAAATTTTATGTAGATCTTATCAAGTTGGAAATTAAAGTAGATTATGATAAATGTTGCTATGTCAAGCACTACTCTACAAATTTTGAAAGCTATTTGACATTTAGCAGAGAGAGTCTAACTGCACAACAGGTTAGTCAAAACTATATTGTCTGAGTAGTCAAGAAAAATGAGCATGTATAAAAAAAAAAAAAAAGTACACAATAATTGTGTATATAAAACAAAATCATTCTTATAACAAAGAAAACACTATTATCTCCTTGTATTCACATTATGTGTTCAATTACTGAAGTAGTTACATAGTGGTTCAGTAACAGCCAAAGATTACAAAAGGAATGATCTACGACTAAGGAATGGTCTAATCTAGTGAAAACTCACAAAAAAAATGCACACCCACGCAATGCAAAAAAAAGAGATATATACAAAATTAATTATTTGTGATTAAAGTCAAAACAAAACAAAAGGAGAAATAAAATGTGTTTAGAAATGCAAACATTAGAATTAATACGCAATTCAAACATATGAATGGAGTTGGTTTTAGTACGTTAAGATTTGGTTTCAATTTGTAATGAGAATCTTTATGTTGTAGTTTACAAGAGAGATTTGTGTGTTTGAATATGTTGAGATTTGCTTTCAGTTTGAAATGAGAATCTTTATATTTTAGTGTACAGTGAGATGTGTGTGTGTGTTTGAGTAGCATGAAGTGTCAATGTCAGACAAATCAACCATGGGTGCAACTTTTGATCCACTTTCATACACCAACAATTGAATGCTCCGGATGACATTCTTAGGGGTTGTGTGGGTATTGCATTGCATATTGTAACAACATGGTATAATTATAATGCTCAGGTACAATAGTTGCGTAAGAACAAAAGTTGATCTCTTTAAATTAATAGCCAAAATAAATAATGACTAATATTACCACTTTATATGAAGGACAAGTTCAACAAGACAGCAATCCAGTCAACAATACCCACATGGTCCACACCGAAATAGCCCACACTTGAGACCAACATCTTAGAACACGAAGCCCAAATTCATTTCTGTCAACTCTGATAATAGTCCAAGAGAATAGGCCAACACCACACTGCTTTAAGCCAGAGCTATCCCATCCACTGTGACAGTGTTGCTGTTGTTCACATTCTTCTCCTCTTTACCCACAGATCCGTTACAAGAATCATGTCCATTACAGCTAACTTGGTCAGCTTCCTTGGCTACAGTTTTGTCCCTGTCCCCTTTCAGGCTTTTATCACCAGAGTTGTCAGCTTTGGTATCCTCGCCTTCATTTTGTTCTGACTGGCGTCTGCTCATTTCCTGTCGAAACTTCTCTAATTCATCAGGGCTGAGCGACAAAGAAAAGAAAAGAATGAAAACACTGGAAGTGTACAATACTTAACTAACATACTGTAATACTGTAATGCAGGGGAGTTGTGGTGTAACGTAAAGCTGTTCTAAATCTGAAGAAAGATGCAACCCTATAACTTAATCTATTCATCATCCCCATCTAAAAACTTATACTAATATAGCAAAGTGCTTTGATCAATTGTAAGTGGAATATAGTTTGCTCTGGCAGTTGAATTAAGAGGACACTAAAAATAATTACTGGGTACACAATAATATATATAAAGTCATAAAAAATTACATAACACTGTGCTTTTAAAACCTATGGAAAGTGTAAATCAAATAAATTATCAAAATTAAAAAAAATATTTAAAAAATCATTCTGTTTGTGACCCCTTGATTAACATTTATAAGATATAAAACAAAGAGTAATAAATGAGTACAAGTCTTACCTTATCTGAACAAACACTATGCCATTGATCACATTCAATGTCTCAAGGACACCAGCTAAAGTTGGTGGTTGAATCTGTCAGCAGAAGTAAAGTTTTTAATGAAAGTTCTAATACAGTTTTATTTTTAAAAATCAAACCAAACCAAAATGATGAATTGAATGGTCAGTAACTTACCTGAATGGGTGGTAAAATGGAATTAATCTCTCCTTTATAAATCTCATTCATCTTCTTCTGGACTACGACAGCTTGCTTTGTTAAATGTGCCAAACACTCGGAGCTGTCTTTGGTGCGTTCATGATTCTCACCCAACTTAAAGAGTTGAAAACATCAAAATGATTCAAAATAAATTTAGATTTTATGAAAATAAAAAACATGACTAGATCTACAAGGGAACACAATGAGATCTACAAGTGAGCAGACTAAATTGTAATAGCAATAGCAAGATGTGTAGAAGTTGTGGTTTAATCGGGTCCTAAGTAGACGAGACAGTACATTTAAAAAGATGAGACAGGATTAGGATGACGACGAAGGAGATCGCTTGTAGTGTAGAGAGGACATAAACTGTGCCCTAATTCTGTAATAGGTGGTTTTTATTGAGCTCGCATATAACATCTACACTTAACTACAAGATTAATCAACCAACCAAAACAGACAACAACAAAATCTACAAGGGAACACAAGACTACCAGGTCAAAATCTACAAGGGAACACAAGACTACCAGGTCAAAATCTACAAGGGAACACAAGACTACCAGGTCAAAATCTACAAGGGAACACAAGACTACCAGGTCAAAATCTATAAGGGAACACAAGACTACCAGGTCAAAATCTACAAGGGAACACAAGACTACCAGGTCAAAATCTACAAGGGAACACAAGACTACCAGGTCAAAATCTACAAGGGAACACAAGACTACCAGGTCAAAATCTACAAGGGAACACAAGACTACCAGGTCAAAATCTACACGGGAACACAAGACTACCAGGTCAAAATCTACAAGGGAACACAAGACTACCAGGTCAAAATCTACAAGGGAACACAAGACTACCAGGTCAAAATCTACAAGGGAACACAAGACTACCAGGTCAAAATCTACAAGGGAACACAAGACTACCAGGTCAAAATCTACAAGGGAACACAAGACTACCAGGTCAAAATCTACAAGGGAACACAAGACTACCAGGTCAAAATCTACAAGGGAACACAAGACTACCAGGTCAAAATCTACAAGGGAACACAAGACTACCAGGTCAAAATCTACAAGGGAACACAAGACTACCAGGTCAAAATCTACAAGGGAACACAAGACTACCAGGTCAAACTCTACAAGGGAACACAAGACTACCAGGTCAAAATCTACAAGGGAACACAAGACTACCAGGTCAAAATCTACAAGGGAACACAAGACTACCAGGTCAAAATCTACAAGGGAACACAAGACTACCAGGTCAAACTCTACAAGGGAACACAAGACTACCAGGTCAAAATCTACAAGGGAACACAAGACTACCAGGTCAAACTCTACAAGGGAACACAAGACTACCAGGTCAAAATCTACAAGGGAACACAAGACTACCAGGTCAAAATCTACAAGGGAACACAAGACTACCAGGTCAAAATCTACAAGGGAACACAAGACTACCAGGTCAAAATCTACAAGGGAACACAAGACTACCAGGTCAAAATCTACAAGGGAACACAAGACTACCAGGTCAAAATCTACAAGGGAACACAAGACTACCAGGTCAAAATCTACAAGGGAACACAAGACTACCAGGTCAAAATCTACAAGGGAACACAAGACTACCAGGTCAAACTCTACAAGGGAACACAAGACTACCAGGTCAAAATCTACAAGGGAACACAAGACTACCAGGTCAAAATCTACAAGGGAACACAAGACTACCAGGTCAAAATCTACAAGGGAACACAAGACTACCAGGTCAAAATCTACAAGGGAACACAAGACTACCAGGTCAAAATCTACAAGGGAACACAAGACTACCAGGTCAAAATCTACAAGGGAACACAAGACTACCAGGTCAAAATCTACAAGGGAACACAAGACTACCAGGTCAAAATCTACAAGGGAACACAAGACTACCAGGTCAAAATCTACAAGGGAACACAAGACTACC